CAGTTTTCGGGTGATTAAGTGAAGATAACAGACTCACTGATTTTCCTGCCAGGGCTGGCTTTGAACTGAGTTCCTCAGATCTTTCTCGTGAATAGCTAGGATTACAGGTATGAGCCACCAGTAGGTGGCTAGATTCTTTTCTTTCTTAAGTTTTTTAGGCAGATCAATGAGAACCCACTTACAACATTTATCATGCCAAATAACAAGTCAGGAATCTCACCAATCAAAATCTGTTTCTGAATTCATTACGCTAATCAGGAAGGTCTCTAGGTGATAGAGAGATAGATAACAAAAGTAATTGTAGCTGCCCCTGGAGTGTTCCCTTTCTGTAACACAGCAGCTGAATACTTCAAGTGAGAATTTTCCACTAGAGCAACTGACTGTCCCTGGTGCTTAAGTCTACCCTGACTAGTACATACATAATTCCACCCTGTCAACATCAAAGTATTTTAAAGTAAATTACTTCATGGAACAAGTGCTTATACCACCATGCTTGCCTATTAAATGCTCAATTAGCATTAGCCCTGGTTTTATTACTACTGTAACCATGTGGAATATATCAAGAAAAGGTACAGAACTCTATTGTATAACTTGAGTAAAACAATATTCGAAATGAAAGTAAACATATTACTACACTCAAGAACTACTCTCATAATTTGGCTCTTTCTTTTTAAATCAGAAATTTTGATTGCAGTTGAATGTAGATACAATAGAAGGAAGTCCACAAGGTAACTGTATGAGGAAGGTAGAACATGCTTTTAGATCTTGGGAGATGATCCATCAAGTGAGCACCAAAATCAATTCTGGATCTTAGGGGAGAATGCATCTACAAATGGTTGAAACATCTGGCGGTCCTCGATGGAAAACTGAAGAGAGGTGTGGGGCCTCAGGGTCCCAATCTTCCGGGCTGACATCTGGCCTATTCTTAGGATGAATTTTGCTTGAGGGTCAGGCCAGAACGTTCTATAGAATTCTTATTATCTTTAATCTCATACTTGCTACTTAGAGCCTTAGGGGTCACCCTAAATTTTGATCACAATATCTAGATATGCTAGCAATGACTTTCGGACATCAAATTCAAAAGCAAAAATGCAAAACAAAAGTACCCAGCAACCTTTAAGGAGCATTATCTTCTCCTGGTTTGAGCAGATATGTCTCTTCACTTCTTTATTGGTTCAGAAAATAGCATGATACGACAGACATGCCTTTACTTTTCTGTAGTAATCCCTATTTTCAGTGGTATCTTTAAGAGTCTGTCAAGTGGCAGAGCCTCCATACTGCCATTCCTTCTAGAACTATAAGTAGAAGCGAACTTCAGGACAAGAATATATTTGTGGCTATACTCCAATGACTTTATTTTCTGTCTTTACTCTGGATTTCTATTTCCACCAGAACAGCCTGTTGTCAGAGTACTGGGGCTCTTAGTTGGCAGGAATGAAGGACAGACAGGAGCACCTCATGAGATGAAGGCTAACTCACCAAGACCCACTTTAAACAAAGATATATCTTTTTGGTTATAAATGAAGAAAATGAAAGGTATGAGTCCCAGTTTATAATTGGATCACATAAAATATGTTTATGGGAACAACTACAGATGTTAAGTATTCTGAAACTACAATGTAAGTAGCAATGTATCGTGAAGGAATTTAAATGATCTAAATCCATGCCAAGACCTCACATTTACAGCGTTTGGAAACAATGCAGGGCTTTCTGGTATTTGAAGTACTTCCTTTTCCTATAATCATTTGCACCTCTGGAAGACAAATGGCCTGGTGTCCAGTCTCTGTTATACGATCTAGGATAAATTAACATTTTTCTGTTTTCATTTCTTCATATAAAATTAAGATCCTATTGATTTGGTAATCACTGAAGGTTGTTCAGGCAACACAGATTATGTGCTTTACAGAGTGTGGTGCAGAATTACAGGGTAGTTCTGTTAAAATCATGTGTACGTGTCAAGTGGAAATCACAAATAAGTGTTGGGGGAAAAAGGATACCAGCAACGTAAAATGTTACGTTTAGTTCAGTTAAAAGTTGATAAACTCCAAGTAAATTTGGATTATTTTTACACTTAATAACTTAATTATAAAATAGAACATAAATAATAGGGTGTTTTCAGTCCGAGGTACAGGTCATCTTTTCTTGAAAAGCTTCTGATTACACTAGGAAAGGAAAAGTTTGGAGGGCATGAGCGGTCTCCACCCTCTGAGGAAGCACCAGCCTCTGCCGGGTCCTCCTTTGTGACCTTGCCAGGGGGGTTACATAACCATTCCATTTAGAACTCCGTTCCTTCCCACTTGGTTAGGGAAGTGTCCTCTTACAGAAAGGTGAAACTGGAAAAAACAGTCAAGTGCTACTCTGTTCTCAGTATGGATTGGGAAACAAGTTACAGCATTAAGTTCCAGCTTTTGGTGGGAAAACTGGAACCTGGGTCCAGACTAGGATCAGACAGGTGTTCTCCCACTCTTTCCTAAACACTGTGTCTATCAAAAAGCTATCCTCCATCAGCTTGTTTTTGGTCATAATAGACCCATAATGAAGCATCAACAACTTGAGGAACAGTTGCCTTGATACGGTTTTGTACACAGTGTCTGTAAAGGGCAAGATATATGCTGGATCATAAAACTTAAAATTTAAGTAGCATGTATTTAATTCAGAGAGCTTTTGCAAATACGAGAAAGTTGGGACCATCATTTTTAACTGCCAATAGCTACCACACTCAGATATGTACTTTCATTTTGCTACTTAAACACATTAAAAATTAACGTTAATATATGTCTGAACGAAAGACCTCGAATATTCTGAAATGTTTTTTCCTAGATGTAGCGATAACTTTTTTTGAAACAGATATTGAAAAAGCAAAGTGATCCGAATACTCAAAAGAAAAAGATAAATAAAAAGTAAAATACCAATATCTAAGACCTAATTTCTTTCTTGCTGAGTTGTGCACTGAGCCATTCTCAACTAGAGTACAAGCTGATCTTCAATCCCTCCTATGTAAAACATCATCTCGGTAGTACATAAATATCACGTTCAAACTAGAGTATAATTTGGGAGAGCTCATGGTTCACATGGCAGCCTATGGTCAGGGATCCCTTCTTGACAAAATATGAACCTTCTTCCGCCCTGCTTTGGGAACTAAAGGAGGGCAGCAGTAAACAAGCCCTGTAGCATTGTTTCAGAGGAAGGCCAGCGGTGGGCCTGCACTTCCTTCAGGCCTCCTCTCTCTTGCTGAACGAACTCCAGGGAATGGCATCACGTCAGGCTTTCCAGACGTATTATGTGAAGCCATAGCTCACTGTCATTTTCAATAGGAAGCCTCATAATTAAAGGTCAAATAGTCACTTCATCTGCAATCAATCAATAGAAAAAGTACTAATACGGAGGACTAATCAATCAATGGCAAAGACTCTAATAAAAGCAATGAATCAAATTCAGCATGTGTGTAGAGGCAAGTAACATAGAAGAGATTGAGACAGGGCGAAAAGGGAGAACAATAAAATAAACCTAAGGTATAGATCCAAAGGAATATTCAGGAAGCTTCTCAAGCAAGGGTTTCCATCCTTGCTTCATTAGTTACAGGGGCACCACTGGGCCTACAACCATTTATTCTCAAATGCAAGTACTAAAGGTGACGATAAACGGTATTTGATGTTTTACTCTGTGTATTCCATTTGAGATGTGTGTGGTGGGGGAGGGGGAGATCACGAGATGAAACATTCTATTGGTTATTTCCAAAAAGAAAGTGCCAAATAGCTGTATGATAATCCATTCTAGTTCATCTTTGTGTGAGAAGAAAGGATCACGCTGACAGATATTATCTGAAATTTCCCCCTATTTTTCAGAATATGATTTCTTCACACTAGGTCAGTGCTGTGTTGCTCTAACTCCAGCAGACAAGCATTTCCATTAGATAATGCACTGGCCTGCAGGTCAGGTCACTGTGAAGACACAGCCTCACTGCCTGTGCTATCAGGCCACCACAACAGGGAGACATGGGTTGGAGCTTGTGAAAATGGACACAGTAAAAGTATAGTGCTTAACAAACCCACCTGGTAATCATACCCAAGTACTCTCTGGTCAATGAAGAATAAAGAATGACCAGTGACCTCTCTGAGATAAGCAGGGAGGGGAGGTTATTTTCTGAGTGCTTCCATAGAGACGACAAAACAGAATGTTCAAGATAGAAATGAAATTCCCCCTGGACACTAGTGGCTCACTACTGTAAGCCAGCTACTCAGGAGGCTGAGATATGAGGATTGTGGTTCGAAGTCTGCCAGGGCAAGAAAGTCCCTGAGACTATAATCTCTAATTAATTACTAAAAGGCCAGAAGCGGAGATATGGCTCATGTGGTAGAGAGCTTGCTTGATCAAAAAAGTCCAGGAATAGCACCCAGGTTCTGAGTTCAAGCCCCAGGACTGGCGCAAAAGAAAAAGAAAAGAAAAAGAGAAAGAGAAAGGAAAAGAGAAAGAAGGAAGGAAGGAAGAAAGGAAGGAAGGAAGGAAGGAAGGAAGGAAGGAAGGAAGGAAGAAAGGAAGGCAGGAAGAAAGGAAGGCAGGCAGGAAGACAGGAAGACAGGAAGGAAGGAAGGAAGGAAGGAAGGAAGGAAGGAAGGAAGGAAGGAAGGAAGGAAGGAAGAAAGAAAGGGAGGGAAGAAAGAAATCCCTTAAACTGAAAGCTAAGGAAACTGAGGCCAGTTCCTGACTCCTCATTCCCACCCCATCCCAGTTCTAGAGTTAACGTTCTGTACTGGTTGTCTTTTATGAGAACTGAAAAGCATGGTTATAAATTAAGCTAAATCTGAAAGCATTAGAGTTAGGCCCTCAGAGATTGAAGGAAGAATAGTGTTTCTAAGCCAGGATCCTTCCTTACTTTGGTAGTGTTGTTTGTCTAACAGAACCAACAGCATCCCATTTCATTTAACCTGAAGAGTTCTGTGTGTTTCCCAGATTTTACTCTAGCGGGTAGTATATGGCTTTGAACTTGGCGAATCACTTACCCAACGTAAGGGATTTGTGTGTAGAACAGAAGATGATAGCCACTGTATCTGCTGCTGTGAAGCCCGAGTTATTCCTAGGGGCAAAAAAAAGTTATTTGTTAATACCTGTGGGAAAAGATGACGCAACTTATTCTACATCAACTGCAGTACCCACCTTCATGCGAACATCCCTTACATCAATTCCAGGGGCGGAAGTTATTCCAGACTGAAACGGATGATGTATGAAGTCATACATCTGACTTCATTGTTTAGAGATCACTCTGAGTCCTCATCTTTTCTTTTTCTTGGTCCTTGGGCTCCAACTCAGGGCCTGGGCACTGTTCCTGAGTCTCTTTGTACTTAAGGCTAGTGCTCTACCACTTGAGCCACAGAGCTAATTCTGGCTTTTTCTGAGTAGTTTATCGGAGATGAGAGTCTCATGGATTTTCTTGCCCAGGCTGGCTTCCAGCCACAATCCTCAGATCTCAGCCTCCAGAGTACCTAGGATTACAGGTATGAGCCACTGGTGCCTGGTGATTTTTTAAGCAGTTATTGGCGTGTGGGAAGTGTGGGGCGGGGGGAGAACATCAAAACTTGTCAAAGATCTTCACATGGGAGTAAAGACAATAAGCTCTAAAGGTAGGCAACATGATACCTCTATTTATCAATGGGAAAATGGAGGTATACAGAAGCTATGTGGCTTATTTAAGTCCCATTGCTGGTAAATGACAGATCTAGTGTACTAATGCTCCTAACTATTATGTCCTACTATTATTCCACACTAGATTAAGCATCAAAAATTTTTCATCAAAACCAATTATGTGTTGAGATGGGCTCCCAGCAGCCTTAGCGGGAGATAGCATCATTGCCTTGCTCTATGTAAAAAGGGAACCCGAAGCACAGCTGGTCATACAGCTCAAGTAGTTTGCCCCACACTAAGGAGCTCAGTTTGCTTTCTCAGAAAGAAAGTATAATAAGAACACCAAAAAGATGGCAGCAGTTCATGGGGGAGGGCAGCTATCTTGGCCAGTCACTGGTACTCAGCCATCATCTGTGGAGAATGGCTTCGTGGAGCCAGTCATGACCGTACACAGAAAAACAAAGCACTCTGCTCATCTTATGTAAATTGGGATGACTACAATTATTTTCCGTGATGAACATCTCTATTCACATCCTTGAAAGGAATCACATTACTATTTATTTTGTTACTCTACCTTATTTCTTTTTAATATTGACTTTCTTTTTATCCTGTTTTTATTTTTTTATAATTCTTTTGATCACTTTGGCTTCCCTTGAGATCTTTATTTCCTTTTCTTCCAAACCAGTCTTTTTTTTTTTTTTTTTAATTCTCTCTTACAAAGCTTTCAATCGGTGTTTTTCACGATATTTATTTTGCCTTCCTCTGTGGTAGCCACAGAGGAAAACATGTCAGGTTTTACAAGAAGAAGCATGGAATGTGGGGCAGCAAACGTCCTCAGAGAGTGCTCTGTTGAAACCCACTGTTTGGAGAGGAGGCCACATCCATGGGAGATTCTTTCCTTTGTTGCTTTCTGTACTAGTGCTTCATCAGCCCGTTTTGCAGAGGAGATCTCGTTTATCATTAGCTGTGCAGCACTAACCAAGTTAACCCAGAACGCTGAGGCTTAGCTACCTCATCTCTAAATAGAAAGGAACCCTGGCAATACTTTTACTCCTTCCCACCCTCACTCCCCTTCAGCAAGGATGGCAATGGCCACCTGGTGTGCTACACTTGCAAGGAATTTTCCATTCACAAAGGAGTTATTGACATCTCCCTTAGGATGAGTGACTTGTGCCACAAGGACCAGCAGTGGTCAGCGACTGAACTGCAATCGTCTTTTCTAAGGTGGCGAACCAAGTCATTCACAGAAAGAAACCCCTTCAGATAGCTCCTATGTGTGGACATATACAATGAAGTCACGATTTCTCTGTGATTTAATGGTGCCAGGCTTTATTCTTACTTCATAAGTTACTACCTCAAGCTTGGGAAAACGTTTCAGTTTACATCAGTCAGTATATTTTTATTGGCCACGTACCATCTGCCTGGTGCCATAACAGGGCTGTAAGAACCAAGTGCCTCATGCAAGGTCCCAAGCCAAGGTCCTGGCACTATTTCAAGCCTCTTAACAGTCGAGCCTGTCCTTCTGGGCACTCACCGCCATCACTGTAGTTCAGGCCTGGCAAGCTGGCCACGCTCACCTTTCCTGTACCTATAGCTTCAATTGGTTTGTTTTGTGTATTATGTGACTGTGTATGTGCGTGACCATGTTCCATTCCTGCTTCCTCTGCCCCTAGAATCCCTTCATCCACATCTCTGTGCTCTGAGCAATAGCCATTTCTTTTGGACACACATCGAACTCCAACTCCATCTCTGCTGGAAAGCAGATTCTACCACTCTCTTTGGAAGCTTCCTTCTGCTTTGCATGGGACACAGGTGGTTTTACTGTCCTACTCAGAGGACACTTACTTAGCCTGGAAACCCATGCGGGATTAGAATCACTTCTCAGTTGTGGTGTTTGCTGTGCTAACTTTCATACCAAAAGTATGTATGTATGTAATATCTAGTGAATGAGAAACACTGCTGGAAGAATCGGCCTTTATGGTAAGGCTTTAGGAAAGATGAACTAGGATAGAGAGACCAAGCCAGGTACAAGGATAGCCTAAGCCAACACAGAAATGAGAGAGCATTTCTTCCTGGGATAGCAAAGACCACCTTGCTACATAGACTGGAGGGCCTAGCACTTAATAAAATGAACCTCATTCTTAATCATTGGAGTTTTTTTTTTGCCAGTCGTGGGGCCTGAACTCTGGGCCTGGGCACTGCCCCTCAGCTCTTCAGCTCAAGGCTAGTGCTCTACCACTTGAGCCACAGCACCACTTCCAGCTTTTTCTGCTTATGTGGTGCTGAGGAATCGAACCCAGGGCCTCACGCACACAAGGCAAGCACTCTATCACTGAGCCACCTTTCCAGCCCCATCATTGGAGCTTTCTAAACACAAGAGTGGCCAACAGAAGTCTGAGACATTAGAAGCAGTATGAAACACTTAAGAAAAGATCAATGGGCCTTGAAGTAGAGTTAGCAGTAAGTATGTGCTGTGATAGAGATGAATTCCATTTTGAATATTGTGTGTCTAAGGTCTTATGGAGACAGCCAGGGAAACAATGAAATGGGAAAGAAAACAATAGTACTGGACCTTAGGAAAACACCGGAATAGAAAGTCTAGATTTACAATTCTCAGCATGAAGTGGACAGCTCAAGGCAGGAGAACAGAGGAGGCTGTGCAGGCATGTGGGGTAGACAGACGAGACAGGGGACAAGGACAGATGCTTCAGTGATGTCCACAGTCTAAGGGTGGCAGAAGTCGGACAGAATGGCCAAGAAGATAGAAAGAAAAATAGGACAATATAGTGAACTAGCTGCCAAGAGTTACTATGAAAGAAAGTAATTTTAAGAGACTAATAGAAAAGATGCTTTACCGCTTACCTTGTTGAAAAGATGAAGGTTAATAGCATGAAACTCAGCTGGATAGAAACTACTGCAGAAAAAAAATATTGAATATAAATTAGCACTATAAAGGTACATCTCTAGCGTATTTACTAGTATGCTTAGTTTCATTTGAAACTTAAGGGAACTCAAATAGAAAAACGAGTAAATAAACCAAACAAATATACATTGTTAAACTAATACAATCATTGAAATTCATAGGGCTTAGCCTATTCTTTTTGTTTGTTTAGTGCTGATACTAAACAAACTTCCAGCATTTTGCTGGTTAATTGGAGATAAAAGTCTCTTGGATTTGTCTGCCCAGGGTAGCCTTTGAACTTTGATCCTTAGATCTTAGTCTCCTAAATAACTAGGATTACAGGCACAAGCACCTGTAGGCACCTGGCTTAATCTGTTCTTACTGACAATATCCCCAGGTATTATTTATGATATCCACTACTTGGGAAAAATCTATAATTTTCTTTATGATTTGGCTGTTTGGTTTGCTCAGTTAAGAGTATGTTATAGCACAAGGCACACACATGGTTACACTGGGATAATCCATCTCGATGTTGGATAACAACAAGATTATTTGATACTATAATACTAATAGAAGTTGTCTTTGGTATTTAGAATAAATAGAACAAAAGGTTGGTTTCTTAGCCTTAGCACATACTGGTTATTTTATAGCCTGCTGCTCCTTAAAGTGATATATTATCAGGGGTATCTTTTAGTAGAAAATATGATGTAAATATTCACATCTGAATCAATATAGCCAAATCATTATACATATAATAGTGTCATATATTGTAAATCATAGTATGTAAAGCAGAATATGGGATAAAATTGGTTTACTTAACAATAAACTGAATTGGGAACAAACTGCTCGATCTGATGCTTGAGTCTGACAGAGAGTAAGGCTCTGTTCCTAACATCATCTCTGGTAAATCAACATGGAGCACCAGATATGGAAAACAAGGGATTAATACTAAATTCATAACTGGCATCTTCCTAGAGAACACCACACATGCTAAAGTCACTGAATACACACAATACAAGCTGAATATTCATTCGAATCAGTTTAACACTGGGACTGAGGCTGGGGAGCAGATTGCTTTGCTGTGCTGCTGAAGAGACTAAGGGAAGGGTAGTCAGGGGGGTGTCCCATCTCCCTACTTACTTATAAACAGGATGAGTACGAGGCTGAATTTATCCAGGTCGATATTCGGGTTAGAGAACGTGTCACAGAACGTGGTGTAGATGATCATGAGGAGCACGCTGCTGCTGATAGCACCGAATGGAGGTTTCTTCCTCTCAAGCCAATCCTTGATGTATCTTCGGACAATCTGAAACACAGAGAGCAACAGGTGGCCTCTTTTCCAAGATGTAGGGAGTTGAGTTGGGCATTGCAAAGTGATTCTGACAGCCAAAAGACATAAAGGAAAGAGAATAAATTTGGATGATGGCCACAGTGGATTTCAAAGCTTCCCTGCCATGCCACTCTCCTCCTGGGGAATTGAACGTTTGTAGTGCAGCTTCCACTGGGTGTCCATAATGAGAGTGTATTTCCAACCACATTCAAATCCATCCTTAATCACGCCAAATGCTCTTTGCTAGCTGTCACTGAGACGGGCCCATTAAGCCTCCCCGAAGTTTATCTCCTCTGCTGATCCTAATGGATGTGTGTAATTATCACAGCCCCCTTTGCCTCAAAGACAATTCCAAGTGCAACTTTGGGAATCTTAAAAATCTGACATCTTCAAGAATTTCAAGACAGTAGATAATCGAAAGTGATCCATGGAACATATTAATATTTAAAACACCAGCAATGCACCAGAAGTTTTTAATTAAATTATAACTCATGCTTGAAAAGCAAAAGTGCATGTGTTGTGGGAGTTTAAATAATTCACATTCTGAATATCTAGAGTTTTTGTGAATCCAGAGACAAATGTCATTTGCATGCTTTTAGAATTCCAAAATTAACACTTAAAAATGAATAAGCCTGTCCTAACTCTTCTACAGAAAGGACTGGTGAAATATGAGGTCACACAGCAATCCCTTCACATTTTAAAACCAAATCAGATATTTAAAATCAGGACAATGTGGATATTGGCATGAACTTTTGTGTGGACATAAACTTGAAGCACTCTGTTTAAAATCCTCTTTCGCTTTTGAAGGAAGCTGTATGAGCCGTATTACATGAAGAGTAGTTGAGACGTATTAAGTTCCCTCATTATCCTACATAATTGAACAAGAGATTTCACAACAGGCTGAGTTGCACAGATCCATTAGCAGTAATGAGGTCAGGGAACTTTTCCACACAAGGTTGATGGGTCCTGACACCATCCACTCTGTCACCCAAAAGGCTTAAATCCACCATGGAACATATATTTACAGGTACTTAAGAACAAAATAAACTACAATTAGTCTCCTTAGCCCTGGCTTTGTTTTTCTGCAGTTTCAGGGACCCCTAGTCAACTGTATTCTGCAAATGTCAAGTGGAAAGATTCTAGAAGTAGTCAATCCATACGTTTTTAAACAAATGTTATTCTATTGTTATAACTGTTACATTTTATTGTTGTTGCTAAAATTATACTTTATCAATAGGGATGCATGTAGAAGAAAAAAGTTTATAGAGGTCTCAGCACTGCCCATAGTTTCAGTCACTGAAGATTTTAGACCAAAAAGAGGGAGTCTTGTGCTCTCAGTGGAACTTCTGAACAAATGCCTGTGGAGCGTACCACCCTTTCAAGGACTCACTAAGTGAGCAAACTGCAAAAATAACAGGAGACATGGCAGAAAGCTCATCAGTTATTACAAGGGATAGGAACAAGGTGAAGGACAAAGGCCAAAGATATTCAGATAAATCATGGTTAATTTCTTTTTAAAAGTAGATTTTATATAAAAATAACTAGATTTATGAAATATGGAGGTACCAGTGATCTCAACCCATGGTGACCTGTCTGTTTAAAGTTCTTTTCCTTGAAGTTTCAAATGCAGTAAAATACAGAGAGCTCAGAGTGGCTGTTACTCAGTGTTGGGGACTGAGGTCTTAGAGAATGGAAGCTTCGGGTGGCAGTCTAGTGGTATCGTGACTGATCCAGACAGGCCAAGTTCAAATATGGTGCCATGGGTGACATTAGTCATTTCCTACTCTACTGTGTTTGGGAGCAGAGGTCTGAAGGTCTTGTAAATTTAATGTAAATTAACTCCTGTAATTCCTTAGAAAGATTAACTCATGGTCGAACAACGTGAATACCAGGAGACTGGCACTTGAAAGGTATGTGGGAAGGTCAAGGAGAGGGAAGTAGATAAACAAGGGAGGAAGATGGGTGAATGCAGTCATAATATTCACTGAATATCCTATGAAATTAGGAAAATTGAGGGGAGGGGCTGAGTTGGGAGGAATGAAATAGTGAAACGGATCAAGATGACAACCATAGTGGCATCGATCACTGCACTTCTGGTAGCTCCTTTGTACAACTACTTAAAGATAACAAAATATAACTTTAAAAAATAATGGAGAATATACCAAAGTATGGAAATATACTTGTCATTCAGTTCTGTTTTGATATACAATGTTAAAGGCACACAAGTTAACTATGAAATAAACTACGGAATGTATGATCAGAATTTCCAAAGGAAAAGTGACTTTCTCTCTACTATCTCGGCCCTCTCTGACAAAACAATGAAGTATCAACAAAGTATAATTTAAAGGACAAACCATTTTAAAACCAACACAAATACTGAACCATCAACCAACTTTATGAGCAGTAATTTGGTACTCAAGAAACAGAATCCTCCTAAGCAGAATGTTTTTCTTCTAAACAGATTCATGGGTGGATTTCAGTGGAGGAAACAACTGGGAAATTGGGCAGTGGATAGATCCATAGGTGAAACAAAACCCTTGGAGGAAAAATGGTGACAATTTTAGTCTTGCTATGCTATCTGTCTGTGTTTCCTAAGTAAGTCATTTCCTGTCTTTCCAGGCTCCATAGAGCTTTTCCATGTTCCTCTAAAATTAAGTTCACAAAGCAGCTGCTTTTGCATTGTATAGCTAGAAAAGTGTTAAAATGTTCCATAAACAAAACCGAGCGAGGCTGCGTTGACATGTGCTTGCACAATAAACTTACATTTCAGTAACTTACACATCTTCCATGTGTCAAAACTCACATCACTAGAAAATTCTCCAAACTCTTTGGCCCCATTGAAGATTTTCATAACTTTACTGGAAATAACAGTGCTAGAGATAGACTAGAACAATACCATACTCTCAATAGAACTTGAAATGTATGTCTTCTCTTTTGAGAAAGAACACAAATCAAGTTGAGGGGGGACAAGGTGTTTTCCCCTCAGAACCTGTATCAACTCATTTGTCCTCCTGGTTCAGAGAGACTGTGGTATTACAAATTAAGAGACAAATTCTCCTTGTTTGTTTTTCCCTGCAGAAAAGGAAAAGGAATTGCCCATAGGAAGAAGCTTTTTATTTTTATTGTCTAATCCTCAACATTTTGCTTTTCTTTATTTTAAACTAAGTAGCTGGAAAGGCAAAGGAAAACTTAAATTTGATTTTGAACTTCTCATAAGCTGAGTGACATATCAATTACTATAGAACTTCCAAGTAGAGACCTGTAAAAATGACATATCTTAGATGAAGAATGTCACCGCACCAAGGTATCTGTTAAGCATATTATCTATCATTTCAGTTTTCTTGATTTTTTTTTGTCAAGGTATTTCCTTGCTTTTTCTTTCTACTCTGTCTTTACATTTACAAATTGATTTTTGAGTGAGAATAAATGACAGATAATTTTTCATGTTAAGCCTGAATTTTTATGATGTATTTCTCTTCAAGGTGGCTTTAGATTCTTTCTTCAATTTTCATCCTCTATTGCATAGAATCTGATATTTTCAGAGCATTTGGGCTCTGTTTAATTGATACTCTGTTGAAAGGATATTGCTAGAGATGAAGTCAGATACAATTTATAGAACACAGGTGTTTAAAATGTTTGATTAAATACTGGTTAGATCTGAAGTGATATTAGTATGCTTATAAAGAGATACATGAACAATAAATATCCATCATCCACTTAGCTTTTGAGAAATTCTTCCCCACTACTGCTTCATTTCATTCTCATGACAGACTACAAATATCATCCAGGTGAATATGAAGGCATGAGCCCAGACAACATGCTTAGCATGCTACCATGCCAGTCAGGTGGCTGTATAGGAATGTGTCCTCTGTTTCCAGGGAAACAGAAGGTCAAGGCCTAGATTGGAACTAGTGTGTCTGACCTGGAATCCTGACTCCACTCGTTAGCTGGATCTTTGATGAATTACTGTGCCTCATCTCTAAAAAGGATGTAAAAATAAGCGTATTGAGGATTAATTAATATGAAATGCCTAACATGGTAGATGCTCTCTAGGGATCAGGCCAGAGATCCTCAGAAGAGGAGCCATGCTAACAGGTGGTTGTGATTATTAATCCTAAGAGGGGAATACAGGAGAGGGGTAAGTAGATGCAAGCAAAGCACCTTAAATGGGGGAAAAGCCAGTAGAGTTCATTGGTATCTAGAATACTTTTTTCAAAGAATTTTTGTTTTGGTAGTTTTGAACTAAAATTTGAACTCAGAGCCTCACGGTTCCTAGGAAAGTCTTCTTCCACTTGTGGCATGCCTCCAGCCCTAGAGCGCTTAAAAACAAACTGCTACTTTTTGACTAACTTTATTACTTTATAATTTACGGAATACTTTGCTGTGTAACACACAAAGGATGAGCCATCTAATAATTCATTGGAGGTTTTTTTTGGATAAATATTCTTTAATTACATAAATTATATAACCCTATACATTAAAAAATGAATAATTTAGGCATGGCCATTTTTGTTCATGTGTTTTAAGCCAACCAAACATTTATTATTAATAAGGATATATTCAAGGTCAACTAAGAGAACAATTATGTGCTCCAAGTGATTACGTGGAATTATTTTCAGAACCAACAAAGTAAGTATGGATTCATACTAATGCTGTCCGCAGTTTTAAACTGTAGTGGTGAGAGAAAGACAGACTGGATTATGCATCTATAAGACATAGCATATCCCTTATTGCTCACAGAATGCTCATGCAGTCATGACTTTTCTCACTCATTCTAAACATTTATTGTAGAGTCTTGGAATGCAACAGAACAAAATATACATGGTTCCTGTACTCATGAACTAGTTCATGAGTTTAAGGGGGGAGGATGGAACTTAAAAAGCCTACTAAATAAAATGTGTATTTCAAGAAGGACAAAGACAGGCATCAGATAAAGTGTGATAAAAGAAAATAGGAAAAAAAAAAAAAAGAAAATAGGAAAACATTAGAGTTCAAAGGAGACCTGAATTAAAGGATTAAGTGAGTAGGGAGGGAGCAGGAGGTGACTAGAAAGACCTGAAAAGAAGGGAGAAGTCTAGAAAAGCCAGGGAAGCCTGCGGGAGGACATGGGGGGAGGAGCCTGCAGGAGGACATGGGGGAGGAGCCTGCGGGAGGACACGGGGGAGGAGCCTGCGGGAGGACACGGGGGAGGAGCCAGCGGGAGGACACGGGGGAGGAGCCAGAGGGAAGACACGGGGGAGGAGCCTGCGGGAGGACACGGGGGAGGAGCCTGTGGGAGGACATGCGGGGTTTGAGCAGTAGGCTGAGGATGTGGCATCTGCACTGTAGAGAAAGTTTTTTCCAAGCATCATTTTATATTTAATTACAGGTATTCTTTATTTTTACATCTCCTCATCCATGCTATAGTTAGCCTTTTTATGGATAAAATGAGAAGTTTTTAAAGCCCCGTCTGTGTACCGCAGAGTGTGCTGGTTTGTCCAGACCTAGGTTGAGGAAGGGGCTAGTTCCCTCAGGGGCTGCAAGTGTTTGCTCGGTTTCAGGTGAGTTCATCTTTGTCACAGTCCTTCCTGGGGTGTAAGAGAGGTGAGTCTCTAACGACTGGGGAGACTGGAAGCTCCCATTTAAGGCAGGACGACTTAGGGGTGTTTCCAGCCCCAGATGGCTGGCGGAGGCCTTGCTGGGAAAGCATCAAGCACATCTACCTCTTTCATGCTGCTGAAGGCCATGCTCCAGGGCACTTCCTGTCGACCCTCCAGGGGCCCCGGAGGAAGACCCCCACATCTTACACACACGTTATTTTTGCAGTTGCTCCCTCTTCCGTATTTGCAGGTGACCTGAGGATGGTGACAGTTACAGCACACTTACCTGAGTCACACTCCAGGCTAAGAACTTTATATTCATGCATATTTCCTTCAGTTCTCATGACAAAACTCTAAGTGAGGTGCTGTTATCATATTTAATCAACTATGAGCCTGGAGCGAGGGAGAGTAAGTGCCCAAGAACATACAGCAAACAAAAGGTGGATTTTAGCTTGGAATCTAGTTGCTCTTAAACTCTGTGTATTGATTATTTCAGTAACACATTATATTCTGTCCTCCGGTCCTATGGTTTCCTGAAAACCAACAAACTACCCAAAATACTTGTTTTTCATGTATATGCTTATAATTACATCACATGCTTACTAGTAATGTGTTAAATTAATTTCAAATACACAAATTTTTGCTATTAATCCTCTTAAAGACAAATCAGAAAAAAAACCAACTCTAAATATTCAAGATCGAATTGTAAGAGTCTGGGGGGGTTCTTACAGAAAACAATCTGCAAAGCAGATTAACCTGACTTTGAAAAGTTAAACAAAGCATCCTGTGATAAACAAAACTTTCTATTTTTATTTAGCTGTTTCCTCCTTGTGAATATCCTTTCTCTCAATTTCTTGACATGGTATAAAACTTCACAATTTCATCTTTAGAGAAAGGACAGAGATAAGGGGTGGGGCTTAAGCAGTAGAGCAATTGCCTATCAAGTGCAAAAGCCGAGTTTAAACCCCAGTACCATGAAGGAAAGGTAACAATGCTACACTATTACTACTTTTACTACTACTACTAATAATAACTTAAAAGAAAGATCAGGTAGAATGGAGACTTTACCTGTCCAATGATGAGAGGAACCACAACGGTCATAAAAAGCTGAGAGAAAATAGATGTAAAAGGCACAGAAGAGGATGAACCAAGCTGTAAAATCAGAAAGCAAGAATTAGAATGACCACGAATCAGCAGTCAAATCTTGGGCTTCATGAAATAATGCAGTAAATAAATTCGATTTCTACAGATTTCTCTCACATGCACCAAAAAACTGGTAGCTATCAATGAAAAGGAGTAAAGCTGCCTGAAATTTTCTAAATTTAACATAGACTAGTCAGTATCTTAACACATAGTTTTTACTCAGAGATTAGAGTTAAGGAAAAACGTTAATTACTGATGGACAATTAAATTACTTACTACTGAATACATTTTTCTTTTTTTTGCTGGTCCTGGGGCTTGAACTCAAGGCCTGGGCATGAGCTTCTTTCACTCAAGGCTAGCGCTCTACCACTTTGAGCCACATCTGCACTTCCAGTTTTTTGGTGATTAATTGGAAATAAAAGTCTCACAAACTTTCCTGTCCAGGCTGGCTTCGAACTTTGATCCTCAGATCTCAGCCTTACAAATAGCTAGGATTACAGGTGTGATCCACCAGTGCCATCATGAGCAATGAATACACTGCTGTATAGGAAAGTCGTTCTGGGTCTGCACTAATGTATAGCATATTTATCCACAAATGTAACTTGTGTAATTTTTACTTAATCTCTTTGCAAACATGTAAGCATTATCTACCAGGATAATATCTATTTATGCCTGAAATAGTTTCCGACTGTCACATCCCTCAAGTCAAAGATCATTTGTCTTTAGTCTCAGCTTTGCTAGAATTTATTCTTATGTAAGGTCCGGTAGAAGAGAGATATTAAAACACTTTAGTTTTCAACTTAAAATTTCAATCCGCCCTTGAAAGGTTCAGAATCCCGCATTTTTCTCCTTCATTCTTTTTTTTTCATTCTTTCATACTAACAGTTACAACTTGAGTCCCACAAAAATCACGAAGTTTTTTCCATGAATTTTGTTTTTCTAGCTGTGGTGGCTTATGCCTATTGTATTAGCTGCTCAGGAAGGTGGCAGAGAGCTAGAGAATGGAGAGTCAAAGACAGCCCTGGCCGAAACTTCCGGGACTCCGTCTCTAAGCTAACCAGCAAGCAGCTAGTGGAGGCATGGCTTAAGACATAGAGCATCAGCTGAGAAAGCACAAAGCCCTGTGTTCAAACCATGGGTTAACACCAAACCTCCTTCTGTTTGTCCAAGTTCAAAAGCCTGATCCAGAGATTCTCATTTCTTTCTTGAGTTCAGTTAAACTCAGAAATAGCTTTTAGAAAGTAATTTTGTGAATGGACACTAAAGTAGCAATGGTGCACGATGTCTAGTAAAACAAAGCAGATATTTGGATAAATGAAGTTGAGGGCTGAGAATAAAATTTTACATTATCAATATTTTTACTGATTTTTGATTATTTTTCTTTGATACGGGATCTCACTGTGAAGCACAATCTGAGCTGGAACTCTCTGTTGTTCAGGCTGGCTTCAAACCCTTGATCCTCCTGCTCCCGTCTCTGGGTGCTGGGATTCTAGGCATGTGTCACCATTCTGGTTTTGATTTCCCATTCTGCATGAATGCTTTGCTGATTTTTTTTCTCCAACCTGGTGCACTGTATAAATTCTTTCCCTCGGCTCAGGCCCAATTTGAGCACACTCAAGATGACAGCAATGTGCTCATCGCTCCATCGACGATCCCGCACTCAGCACGAGCTATCCACCTCTCCCCATGCCCCATGCAGCCTCCCTGCCTCGACAACCAACATAAAGAAGTGAAGAGAGTCAGCAGAAAAAAAGTGAAACTGCACTAGAGTCTGCAGGAGTCTTGGTGTGTTCAAATGTTCCATGGTTGGCAGGTCTTTTTTTTTTAATGCAAAAACTAAGGACTGAAAGCTCCTAACTACATCCCACTGAGAAGCCAAGTATGCCATTGAAGCACAATGTACTTAACAAATACACTTTATGTTTAAATATGAACCCTAAATTTGTTCTTGGGCAAGGATAGAAGAATAGATTTCTAAGAGAAATCAAGGTGCCGAATGAATAGAAAAATAAACTTTCAAGAATACAGTTTCCAAGTTCATAATTATCCAGCTCAAAGTTCTCTGCCCATGATTTACCATGCTCAGAGAGAAGAAGCAGGATTTATAGCCGTCATCTTCATACAAAAGGTGACAATTCCTATTTAGGATCTCAGGACGGGGCTCAGACATCTCTGGTTCTCCTTTCTATCTCAATTTTATTTGTACTGAAACATTAATTAATTTCTCCATCCGTCAAACAGCGTCTGACAAGGAGACAGTGGAACAAGCGATGGCTGAGGTGGACCTTGTCCAGGATCCCCAAGGTCCTTTTGTTGTGGAGAACACCTGACTGGAAACCCGGTTAGGGCGACCCTCCTCTGAGGCACTGTCAGAGAAGACAAGCTAGCCAAGGGTGGCACTCACTCGGTACCCAGTGCCAGAGGAGGGTGGCAGGGATGAAAGTCTGCTCCCTTGCAGGTAGCTCTGAAAGGAAGGACAGGAGTGCAATTGGGCTCAAGTCCTTGCTTTTGACGTGGCTGCCGGCCTCTCACTGTGGTCAGGGGAAGCACAGGTGCCCACAGGGGCATTTCTGATGCTGTGAAGTGTGCGCTGGCAAGCAGGGTGAGCACTGGACATAGGAGAACAGGACTCAACCCTTTTGTCCACAGACTTCATCTTAACCAACACAGAAGACGCTGTATTGCTGGGGAGGTTTGCCTCTTCCTATTTTTATTTTTTTTGGCCGGTTGTGGGGCTTGAACTCTGGGCCTGGGCGCTGTCCCTCAGATCTTCAGCTCAAGGTGAGTGCACTGCCATTTGAGCCACAGCAGCACTTCTGGTTTTCTGGTGGCTTAACGGAGATAAGAGTCTCATGGACTTTCCTGCCCAGGCTGGCTTTGAACCATGATCCTCAGATCTCAGCCCCCTTAGTAGCTAGGATTATAGGTGTGAGCCATCAGTGCCTGGCCTGCCTCTTCCTATTTTAATGAGAAACTTGTTGCAGTTAGAAGATGCTTAAAAGATGCATCAGTAATTTGCAAGTAAATTTGCAGGTTCTGGATCAACTTAAACCGAGCAATTCCCGGGCTTCACTTGCACTCCCCAGCAGATTCAGAGCTAATTCGTCTCGCGTGCCAAGCCATGCTTTAACCTACAGTATGCTAAGCAAACACTAGTCATAGGATAATTTCTCTCAGGAAAGAATGCTTTATTATTTATGTACTTATTAACTCATTGATTTTTTATTTGGGGGGCAGTACTAAAGTGAAAACTCAGGGCCCTTCACTTGCTGAGCCATGCCCCTATTTTGAGATAGGTCTTGTTTCCTTTTGGGTGTGTACCTGGATGAAAAGCCACCTATTCTAGCTTCTCACTGTAGATAATAGGGGTACACCACCACACCTGGCTTCTTTGCATTAAGATGGAAACTTTGAGAAAAGTCTTGTGAACTTTTCTGTCTGGGCTGGCCTGCATGCACTCTTGTTCCAGAAAAAGTCCTGCATGTTTTCCTGGGCCAGTCTGAACCATAATCCTTTTGCTCTCAACTCTTCTGAGTAGGTAGGATTACAAGTGTGAGCAACCAGCTTAGAAATATGACTTAAAAAGTGTAAAACTCACAAGTAGTTTGGCTTGTTGGGTTTCATATGTGCAGAAAGCAATGATTCACAGGAGAGATTTTAGCTTCTCTTGTGTTCAGTTATTTAAATAGTGGCTGAGTATAATTTACCCTGAAAGCCAGGGTAAATTCTAGGTGTCGTGGATGTGTAACCATGGACAAAACATGAGGCGTCTTCTCTTGAGGGCTGCTTTTCTAAAGTAGAGGTCTGCGTGCCTGCCAGAGAGCACTCGAGTACTTGTCTTTGGAGAGTCATGTCCTACCAGAAAAGCTCTAGTCTTTTGCCAAGTCTCAATTTAAGAATGGTGTCTTTAGGAATTCTTTCCAAAAGGCTGGTTGGCCACCTCCTCTTCTGTGAGCCGCCGTTCTCTATATGTCTGATGCACTTCTCCCAACCTTGTTCGTGTTCACAAACCCATTCTTGTTCACAAACACCTGTTCTTGTTCACAAATCTGTCTCTCAGGGGGACACTAGATGCTCCTGAAGATCAGAACATACTCTTGTTCATATTTCACATCTGTGTTACAGGTTCTCAAACTCCAACCCATCAGACACATCTGGATGGCTCAGGAAAACAGACCGTTCCAGCACTGGTGGTTCAGAGAGACTGGGAGAGTGATGGAGACGACAGAATTTGTGTTTCTAACAAGTTTCCCGGTGACACTGCTGCTGCCGCTTCCCTGAAGTTCACAGTGGGAGAGGCAGGGACTGAGTGTGTGGTAGATGTGCATAGTCAATCAGTGAATGACTAGGTAGTAAAGAAAGCTGGAGTTATTTTCTTTTCATTCTGCCAGTTTTGTTCAGCTAAGTTACAAAGGCCTACTTACTTCGCAGACTCGGAGATCAGCCTAGCCTCCCACCCACTCGTCCCCCACAGTTCCCCCAGCCAGGCAGTCCTCTCTGTGCCAAACATGCTGTTATAAAAGCTTCACATGCGCAGTATAGTTGACTCCTCATCGTTGAGGTAGATCTAATTAGTACCCTCATCTCCATACGGCCACACAAGACACAATCTGGACAAGGTCACCATGGCCCCAAACTGAGAGCCAAGATTTACAAAAATTCAATGCCAGTGGCTCACACCTGTCATCTTAGCTACTCAGGAGGCTAATATAGGAGGATCAAGGTTCAAAGCCAGACAGGTAAGAAATGTCCACAAGACTCCACCTTCAAAATAAAAATCAAAGAGCTAGGCTGGAGGTAGAGCAGTGGTAGAGGGCCAGCCAAGCAAGCAAGCCAAGCAAGGCTGAGGCCCTGAATTCAAACTCCAGTATGACCAGGGATTAAAAAGGAAAAAAATATAAAAGAAGAGAGCCATGCTTTGAACCTAGAAGTATAGCTCCACAGCCCTCACAGTTCATCCTATTGCAGAATGATTGCAGAAGGCACAAAGCTGGGAGAGAAGAGAGAGA